AATTAATATTTCCAAGAAGACACTAGACCAAAAGTAAGAAAATAAAAAGATGCCCAGGGAATAAAGACAAGGACTCTGCTAAGACTCCCTGAAGTGAGGGATGACACACCCACCACCAATGCAGATTGAGTCTGTTCCGTTGCCAGTAGAACGTAAGCTGTAAAGCTCTCAACACAACTGACTTTAGGATCCACTAATGGGTCATGAGCTGCAACTTGGAAAAAAAAAAAAAACACCAGCAGGAGGGAAAGGCTCACCCAGTAAATTAATAACATGAGAAAGGAGAGGGTCTGGTTAATAATGGTGTCTTAGAGTGATGGGAAAATCCCTGTCACATATGAGCAGGACAGCCTCCTGTCTTACCTGTGACATTGTGAAAACAGGATTTCACTTTGAGGGCTGCATGGCACAGTACTACTTATTGGGGTACTTAGCATCATCCTTAAAACTCCAACAGAGTCAATGCAATCTTTAAAGGAGGTCAGAAGGCTGAGGAGATAATGTCCGATAAAACCCTGCTGCACAAACATGAGGTCCTAAGTTCTGACCAGCCAGACATGGCAGCAGGTGCTTTAACCTCAGCACCAGATGGAGGGGCAAAGGTGGGAGGACCATCAGCCATCTAGTCTAGCTGAAATGGTGAGGTCCAAGTTCAGTGAGAGACCCTGTGCTCGAGAGAACCTGTGTTGAAACATAAGGGAAATGATACAGGAAGACACCAGAAAAATGGCCCCTGGCCTCCACAGATACATACATACCTGTGTGGGGGAGAGACAGAGAGACAGAGAAATAGAGCCAGACAGAGACAGAGAGATGCAGCCTATTGACCATTGCAGTACATGCTAATATTCTAGCACTATGGAGATGTAAGCAGAAATATCAGGAAGTCAAGGCCCTCCCCAACTACATAGTGAGTTCCAGGCCAGCCTGGACTATGTGAGACTGTGTCTCAAAATATAACGTGTGGAATGGGATGGGAAAGGAAACACAGTACAATGACATGGAAGATATTAAGGAAGTATTGTGCCCCAAAACACAAGTTGTGAAAAAAGAAGAATAGGGTGTTGTCTTATTTTGGGCTACTATTGCTGTGATGAAACCCCAGGACCAAAGCACCTTGGGGAAGAAAGGGTTTATTTGACTTATATTTTTACATTGTAGTCCATCATTGAAGGAAGTCAAGACGGGGACTCAAACAGGGCAGGAACCTGGAGGTAGGACCTGATACAGAGGCCATGGAGGGGTGCTGCTTGCTGGCTTGCTCAACATGGCTTGCTCAGCCCACCTTCTTATAGAACCCAGGACCACCAGTCCAGGAATAGCACTATCCACAATGAGTTTGGGCCTCCCTCATGAATTACTGACTAAGAAAATGCCCTACAGGCTTGACCACAACACTGTCTTACGGAGGCATTTTCTTTTCTTTTCTTTCTTTTTTTTGGGGGGGGGTATTTTTTCAAGACAGGGTTTTTCTGTGTAGTTTTGGTGCCTGTTCTGGTTCTTGCTCTGTAGACCAGGCTGGCCTTGAACTCACAGAGATCTGCCCAGCTCTGCCTCCCAAGTGCTGGGATTAAAGGCATGCACCACCACTGCCTAGCTAGAGGCATTTTTGTAACTGATGCTCCTTTCCCTCAGAGGACTTTAGCTTGTATCAAGTTGACATAAAACTATCCTGCACAGACGGTATGATGCAAACACACCACAAAGTTGCCTTGTTTTTCTTTCAGCTCCACATATACGAGAAATGTACTAAATGTAGGAAAGGATACACCCTTAAACAATGATAGAGATTCCTCTCAAAGATGAGGATCCTAGTTGCAAGAAATAGCCAGGGAATTTTAGATTTAGTCGTTTCAACTTGTGAACTGGCAAAATGGCTCAGTGTTTAAAGGCACTTGCTGCTAACCCTGACAATTTGAGTTTGAGCTCTGGAATCCACATGGTGAAAAGACAGAACCTGAAAGTTGTCCTCTGACTGCCACACTGCATGGTGACATGCAGACACACATCACATACTTACCATAAATACACACACACACACACACACACACACACACACACACACATACACACACATACATATACCTCAAACACATACACACATAAACAAATGTAATTTTAAAATTTATGTTGCATTAAAAATAATTGCTGTAAACAAACCACTCTTAAGGAGAGTAGATGGCCAACATACAATGAACTCAATGGCATCTTTGGGGGCTCATTATCTCTTGATTTTTGTCAGGGTTTTACTTGTTTATTCATTATTTTTAACTTACATGTCTTTTGTGTATATATTACAACTTCCAGTTTTCTGTTTATAGCATTCCTGTGTGCACAAACATTTGGGTCTCTGTGTCTACATGTGCTTCTTGTACTCTTTCTTTGGCTCTTCATCTGTTTGTATGTGTTTTCATTATCTTATTTTATGATTACTCTTTAATGTCTGTTTGTTTTCTAAGGAGAGGCAGAAAAGGTGTGGATTAGGGCCTGGGAGGAGTTGAGGAGGGGAAACTCTATAAAAAAAAAAAAGATACCTATCTTCAATAAAAGAAAAATGGAATGATATTACTGTGAAGACAAAAAGTACCAAAGCTCATTCCATCCACACTATTTATGGACTGGGCATAGGGTCCTGGAGAACTTAAATACTGGACCATCCCAGACTCAGCATGTAGGTATGGAATGGATTTTATTCATTGTGGGGTATTTTGTTTTTGTTTTTGTTTTTCAAATAGAATCATTCAACTGAAATCAGAGCTATGATCTCTCACTCCTTTAAATTCTCCATCACCCAAAAAGGAAAAACAGATTCTTTCTGTGTCTGAAATCAGAATCTCCTGTGATCAAGTTTCTGGTCCACTCCTGAGCCAGGAAATATATTTATCAGTACCGAAGCAGTATTCTTCTAATGAATTAGAGCACTTTAAAATATGATCATGGCATAGACCAAGGATGAGAACCGTTTCTAACATTCCTCTGAATCCCACCCTATCTTAGGATGTGCATACAAAAAACACAACATCTTTTTTTTTCTTCTTAAGATTGTGTCTCACTATGTAGCTAAGGTTGGTCTGGAACTCACAACATAGCTCAGACTGGCCCCATACCCATGGAGATCCCCCTGACTCAGGCTCTCAGTGTCTGGGATTACATGCCTGAGTCAACAGCACTTTTCAGGACCCAGCACTTCCTGCCACACAGCTCCAATAGCATCCAGGATGCCCACCTCTCAATGGGAAAAAAAGCTGTGCCTTGATAGCTAATTCTCAGCAAAGACTCAGTGCCTCCTACAGGAACCTGGAATGAGAGGTGGAGGGTGAAATCCAATATTGGGATCTGCACAACCCAAAGCAAGCAAGGGCTTTAATGTGTGATCTCTACCTTGGTGAGTGCTCCTCCATCCACCTGTGAAGGGAAGGTCTTAATATACCTGGGGCTCGGGGAAAGAGGGAAGAGAAAGATTTGTCACTCAGTAAGTGCCACAAGTGTTTCCAAGAGTGGAATAGAAACTTGAATCCAAACTCTACCATTTAGTAGTTGTGAGAATAGCTTAACTTCTCTGTCCCTCTTTTAGAAATTCATGAAAATAGTGGGATCTGCTCCTAAAATGTCAGTGAGGACTAACTGAGGCTGTATTGAGATTCAAAGTCCTGAGATTCAAAAGCTTCCATGGCAATTAGCCATCATCATCATCTTCATTATTACCAGGACTCTCAGCATACTCCTCCATCACAAACAATATCATCCCATCATCACAATCACGATCAACACTGTTATCTTTATCATTGTTACTAAGACCTCAGAATCGCTGCCATAATCATTGTCACCATCAACATGGTCATCTGAATCATTTTATCACCACCACCTCTTCCTCATCATCATCATTACCACCATTATCACCATATATCATCATTATAATCTTACTTATCACCACCATCATCATATCATCACTAAATCATTACAATCTTAATCATCATCATTAATGAAAGCTATTGGGGTCCATCCCCTAGATAGCCTTCACCCAGAGTTCCAGAAGAGATGATACCAGCAACAGATTAATCTGAGGGATTCTCTTATAAGTCTACATAGATGAAACTCTTTAGTCTATTCACGTTATTTATCTGAGTCAGTTCTCTCTCTACAGAGCTTCTATTCTGCTCTCTTACTTAGCTCCTTTCTTGCCTGATTCTCTCTACATCTCTCTGCTGTTCCCTCTAAGTGCTATCTTAATTTCTTCATCTAGTTCTGCCCCATCTAGGTTCTCATCCATCTAGTTCTTTCCCATCTTAGCTCCTCTCCCATCTCCTTCTTTCTCATCTTGTCCTTCCCCACCTGGCTCTTCCTCATCTTCCATCTCATTCTTCTAGTTCTTTATCAATCTAGTTCTTCCCCATCTCAGTTCATTCCCCTTCAGTTCTTACCCTGAAAGGATCAGGCAGATGCCATAATAGGCTGCTCAGTCTTCTCTCAGAGATCAGGCCTCAGTTTCAGTTTCCTGAGACTTAAACAAGCAGTTTCTGGAAGGGCTATGACATAGTCTTTGCAGTAGCTCTTTTTCTGCACGTACTCTGACTGTTCAAGGTTCAGCCAGTTATTGACTCTCTGGGACCCCTCACCAACTTAGAACTACATGCAGGGTCAATGTGAACGTGCAAGGCCAGCCTTCATGGCAGCTCAAGGACAAAGCCTGGGACTTGTCCAGGCCTGCCCCAAAATGATAACTGTAACCCCCAACCAGTAAATTCAAAGGTTACACACCCTCACCCAATTATATGACGCCCAGGCTTGTACCATCCTGCCTGCTGTTTTTCCCTTTAAAAACCCCTCACCCTGAGAGCTCAGGGCCGTCCTCCTCTACCCACTGTGTCGATTGTTGGACATGGACCAAGCCTAGGTTGGCTTATTATCAGTTAACCCCTGTGTGTTTTGCATTGGACATTGGCTCTGTGGTGGTCTTGCTCAGGGGTCTTGCGATGTAGGCACAACAATCCATCTAGTTCTTCCATTCTCTTTTTTCTTCTTTGTCCTTTTTTTTTCCAAAATAAAACTGCCTCTTTTATCCCTTCAGCCTTTATCTCTCCCTGCTATCTCTGCTCTCACAGTTTCTGGCAGAGTGGGGAGAGTGTGGTTGGTGGATAGGCAACTCAAATAGGCAACTTCCTTCACAGCTAGATGTACCTGTAAGTAGGAACCCTTTAGTTCTGAGTTAATTATTAAGGGTGGATCTAAAACTAGAGATAAGACTTTGGAAAGGACAAAGTTGAGCTTAATTAGCAATCTGCCAGGCCTTCTCAAACAGAGAGTCTGAATAATTAATTCTGTTCTTAGAGAATCTGTGAGGTATCTCAGATAAGATACTTTTGTCCATCCAGAGATGATCCTGGCCAGATGCTGCTAATGATGATAATTACAGAAATACCTGAAATTATGGATCCTGGTGGCATTACTGCACAGAAGGTTGTCTAAATATTCCATTATTAGAGGGGAAATTGTGCCCAGTGAATGATGGAAAAGCTACAATATCACATGAGAAATTCATAGCAGGAAACAGCTAATAATCAAAAGCCAATATCACCAAGACTTCTTGAGCCTCAGCTTGACCTCTGGAAGGCCCTTGACTTCTTCCAGGTATTAGCTTGTCATAATCAGCTAAAATCTTACTTCATATTATTGTGGCTTGCAGCAATCATCATCATCATCACCATCATCTCACCATCATCCCACCATCATTATCACCACTACCACAACTACCAGCCACAGCAACAGCAGCATCACCATACCAAGATAATCTTAATCTTCATCATCATGATTAACACCTCCATCAGGATCACCATCAAAGAATGAAAAAGAGAACAATGATGTTCTGCTCTCAGTGATCATTACAGCATCTGTCAGTCAGACAGAGACCATGTTCATTCTTCCCTGCAGCTTGATCCCTTGTCCTTCATGGAGAACCCGCTTACCTTTTCCTTCTTTGTCTGCCGGGAACTAAGTTGTGACAAAGTTACTCCCTTGATCCAGGAGCTCCTGGGGTTGACTGGGATTCAGGAAAACAAAGCTTTCAGTTTTGGCTTTGGATGGAAAATGAGCGCCCTGAAGACTAACCCCTTGGAGACTTGTGCTCATTACATGTCCCTGTGCCCCATATGAAGACAGAGGGAGGTGGAGAGTCTGGAGCCCCTGCTTCCCCAGAGACCGTTGTCCTTGCCATACTTCTCTCTTCCTAGTTTTCCCCTCTGACCTACTGCACTATGTTTGCCTTTAGCTACACAAGAAATCTACACTCCCCTCGCTAGCCTGTAATGTCCCTAAAGATTTCTCCTGACCACCCATTCATCTTCATGTCTTACCATGTCATGGCATGATTCTCTATATCCCAATGGCTCCTAGCTATGGCAGGGAAACTGAGAAGGGATTAAGTTTTGGGTATGAGAAGACCATGGTCCACAGTTCTACTTCAGCTGGTGAGTGAATAAAGAAGATAAATTATTAAGATTTGCACAGACTTCCCAATGGACAAGCAAACACAGCCCTTCATTCTGGAAGAGACTTGCCTGTGGGCACGAAGCACAGAGTTTAAGAGAGATAAATCCATGTGGCAGCAAATCCATGCGGCTTTGGATACTGGTGCCACCGTTCTCTTGCCTTATGATACTGCTAAAGTTGAAAGATAAGATCCAACAACTCCAAATGGATCTTCAAACACAGAAACATTAATCCTCTAGACAGTGGATTACTAATAGCCATATATGGAAATGGATGCTACCTTCTAATCCCCTCTTTTCTTCCTTTTCTTAGCCCTACTAATTGCACCCTGCCTCATAAAACTCTTGGCTAGATTTCTTCAGCAACAGATGCAAAATATTTCTAACCAAACTCTGAACCAGTTAATGTTACAGGACTACCAGCCTCTATTGACAAAGACAGAGATCTGCAGAACCTGGTCACATCCTGAAGAGGAAGATTAAGATTGTCCCAAGAACCTTGACACCCCAATTCAGAAGGAAGCAGTCTAATGATAACTTTACCCCCTTTCCAATCCCCAGGTGCTTATTACTAAACAAAAAATGGAGGAATGTAGGGAAAAGTGGCTGGCTAAAAAACTCACCCTGACCCTGTAGCCTGGAACTAGGGAAAGATGGCTCAGAAAAGGCCAGTGAAAGAAACAGTTTGGCTCAAATCAGAGCTATCTCTGCCCCTGGCCAACTAACTTGTGAAACCAACCAATCACAGAGCAAAACAGTAGAACCCTGTCCTGTGTTTGGGACCTGAGCCTATAGGTCCCAAAACTTCTGTTGCCTTCCTATGAAATGAGATTCATGTAGCATAGATTTTATAGGGCTAGAGAATGTATGCAAATGGTTAATCATTTTAAATGGTTTATTCCATTTTTAATCTTGGAGGGTGTGGATGCCTACAGAGGCTAGAGGTATTGCATCTCCTGAAAATGGAATTATAGCTGCTGTGAGGGGCCTGGTATGGATGCTGGGACTCAGATTCAGATCTTCTGGAAGAGCAGTACACATTCCTAAGCACTGAGCCATCACTCCAGCTTCTAGCCAACCATTTGAAAGTGCTTATTTAGAGTAGTACCTGGACAAGACAGAGCACAGTAATCACTCTGTTCACTGCGTAATTAGTATCACTAATTTTAGCAGGTTCTTTGAGACACAATCCATATTAATATACAACTCACCCAATTTAAAATAAAAATTTTGATGTTCTACAACAGCTGAGGAACCCCCATGGAACTGGATCAGTCCCTCTGGATAAGTGAGACAGTCAATTAGCTTGAACTGTTTGGGAGGCCCCCAGGCAGTGGGACTGGGACCTGTCCTTAGTGCATGAGCTGGCTTTTTGGAGCCTGGGGCCTATGCTGGGACACTTTGCTCAGCCTGGGTGAAGGGAGGAGGGGACTGGACCTGCCTCAACTGAATCTCCAGGCTGAGCTGAATCCCCAGGGGAGTCCTTGCCCTAGAGGAGATGGGGATGGGGGGTGGATTGGGGGGGGAGGGGGGGGGTGCAGGAGGAGGAGGACAGGGGAATCCGTGGCTAATATGTAAAAATAAA